ACTTTCCATTTGCTTTGGTGTGCACCTCGCCTAACAGGTATTACAAAACAGCACATTTATACAGGTCTTCATCTGAATTCATATTCTGTGATGTTTTGGGGGATCCTATCAGCATGTTATGTTCCTTTCAGTTTCTTCTGCAGTATTCGATAGTCACTAAAACTCTATGATGCATTAACCCCATAAATCCCAATGGTATACATACGTACCACCTGTTAAACAGGTTTCCTAAGCGGTCAATTTCTTTCAGGATTTCTGGCATGCTACCCTAGCAATATGTGACAAAGATTATGAATTATGAAACTTCTCATTATTCAGTTTTAATGATCCTCATATTACTTTGGGATCCAAAAAAGGGATTTCTCAAGTAGATGAGCAACTATCATTTTCTGAAAACAGACCATACTGCATGCAATTAGTTATGTTAAATGCAACGCAGGTCATTTTCAACAGCAAATAACATGGGAAGACTTTGTGGAGAATTATGAAATAAAACTTCTGAAATGTAAAAAAACCTTGCCATATGGGATTTCTTCATGTATGAACACATACACGATTAGATACATGTGCATGCAATCTCTGTTTCAAATTACATTTTGCTTTTTCAAGTCTCACACAAAAGAAAACTTGTCCATATAAATTTCTGTTACTTCTTTAGACCATTAAGTACAGAATATTAATGGAAATATCTTAGTGTGGAGTATCTACTACCACTACTCACACTCCATTTTCCATTATGTATATAAAACCAATAAATACAAAATGAAGAGTTACTGATTGTTGAAACAGGTAGGACATGTAACTACCACTGGGCTTTAAAGGGATAATTAATATCTTAGGCTAAATTCCTACTAAATCAATGACAAATAAACAGTAATTATCCTACAAATAAAACTACTGGCTTCTTTTATATGTAAAATTAAAAATGTATGACTGCATTTGTCTTTAATTAAGAGCACCTCCAAAACAAAGCATATTTTACTCATCAAAAGCAGATTTAAACAAACATACAACAAAATTTTAAAGAATACACTTGAATTAAAGAATATAACACTTTGTGATTTGACTCTGCAAGGCAAATAACAATCAAGATTCAGAATGAACATAATTTTGAAGCAGAACCAGACACAGAGACAGTACCTGCCCTGTGTAAGAGGGCAAATAACTGGGGCTGAACAAAGATTATAGAAAGATGTCTTCAGCCATTGATTTCAAGAAGAATCTTAAGTTATATCTGTACAGCCTGAGAAGCTGACACATCTGGTATATTCAATTCTGTACCAAAAATGCTTCTATCAGGAAAATAACAGTATCTAGAACTAAACTTTTAACATTAAACTTCAGTCTCTTTGTACTGATACAATGCATATAATATTATAAAAGAAACTTGTGTTTCAAGCTTAAACCATATACAATAACAGATCCACCATTTACAACTGACATTTCCCATGTAACATAACACAACACAGGGACACTCCTACAAGAAGGTGATTTTTACTTCAGACAAAACTAACTTTGTTTCAAAATGTGTTTATTGCCCATCATAAGGTGAGGTAATGCGAGCAATGTAGAAATGAGATTCCCAATACCCAAAACTCTGTGTAACTTGCAAGAAATTAAATTAACATTACAATGCAGCTCAATATCCATGTCCTCAAACACTTCGGCGGCTACAAATCGCGTAATAAGTTACATGTGGTTCTCAAATTCAAATCTGTTCTCAATTTTCATTCATGTTAATCGAATTTTTTCTCCACAGAGGGTGAGGTTCACAGCCCTCTTGTGTACTGTCAATGAAATTATACTTGTGGTCTAATTCTACCTTCTCGAGCACACTGCATCCAAAAGAATACCTACACTTGGTGTACGGAGATATTTACTCACCCCATGATATCCTTTCCCGTCGTCATTTACACCAATTACACATAAAATATCACAAAACGTACTACAGTCATTTTTGTAGGAAGGCCACTATGCCGGAAATGTACACTACGTCATGACAGAACGAACAGGAAGTGCTTGTGGCGGCTTTCCATTGCGCCACAGCTATGATTTAGGATTTGTGATTCCATTTTGTCTCACCTATTTGTCGAATAAATTCTGTCGGTAAGACAGATTTCAAAGTAAAGTATATCAATAAAAATATTAACATTTTACAAACTTGACACGTGAAGCTGATCTAATTCAGTCTCTTCTGACGGTAGATATATTTTCCTGTCATCTTGAGATATTTAACAACTTACGTTGGCCGTCGTGAAAGTGATATTTTTGGTCGGCCTAAATATTTCAGATTACCTGTCAATGTTAATCTTACTCTGCGAATTTTAAGTTAGTTTTATTGATGCTTACATATTAAAATAACCCTATGGTTTTCATTTAAGTCGCCAGCGTACGTTCTCAGACCATCCTAACCTGAAGTTTCTAAGGTATTTGAGCCCTGTATCAGCAAGTATTCACCTAAGAAATGTATGCACGTTTACTAACATTCAAACTATTAAAATCTATTTACTTACAACCCTAATAATTAATATTCGAACACAGACCCATTCAATTAAATGACCAGTTCATTTTGTCATTATGTTCAAATGTGGTTGGTCTCTATGAGATAATCATCCATTTGTCACACACTGAATTATATGATTAATGCTTACATATTGAAGTTGAGTAACATTCAGACAGGACAGGGCTGGAGAGGTAAGTTAAGCAACGTGCAGACAGGATGTGAGTTGGAGGGCTACCTTACTTAAAATGACAAAAATATAATCCAACAGAAGTGAAGCAACATTCCAACAACACAAAACCAGAATGGTTCCCCTGACTTAATGTTCCAAGGCTGGGATATGTTTATGCTAGACTCTGCAAATATTCTTCATAGGCCAAAGGTTCTTGATGTTGTATGACCAACTGTTTGTCCATTGTGTTAGTCCTTGATAATGAAAGCAGAGGTCTCTTACATATTGGACTTCGATTCTGAATTGATGGGACTGGTCACCTGAGATGTGAACACAATGTATATGTTGTAGGTAAGATGAAGAATAAGAAGAGAGATGGAAGGTGTAATATTAAAAATACACC